GTAAAAAAGTTCTCATCATAAGAAAAAAATTGTAGCTATGTATGGTAACGAATATTAACTAGACTTATTGTGGTAATCATTTCATAATATATACAAATATTGAATCATTGTACACCTGAAACCAATATGATGTATGTCAATTATATCTCAATTTTTAAAAATGCAAGTTACAAAGTGAAAGAAGCCAATCTGAAAAGGCCACATACTGTAAAAAAAAGTAAGAGAGACACACAGAGAGAGAGAGAGGGTGACAGAGAGAAAGCGGGAGAAAAAAGGCTGAGCACCTGACCCTCTCAGATAAAATGGCACCGGGACCCTGCTCAGGCATCCCATAAAGACCAAATTCCCTGCCCAAGGCCCACAGCAGGGGTCAGCAAATCTTTTCTGTAAAGGGCCAGATAGTAAATATTTTAGGCTTTGTGGGCTATCAGGTCTCTGTCTCAATTACTTGACTCTACCCTTATAGCACAATAGCAGCCACGGACAACATAAAAACAAACAGGCATGGCCATGTGTCAATAAAACTTTATTTACAAAAGCAGGCTGAGGGCTGGTGTTTGCTGACACCTGGCATACAGGACCCTCCCTAATCTGGCTTCTGGCACCTCTTTTGTTTTAGCTCCTCTCTCCGCCCAGCCCACTGCCCTTCAGCCCCGCTGCCCTCCGGCTGTTCCTCAAGTCTCTGCCATGCCGTTCCCTCCGCTAGACACCCTTGCTCTGATGGCCACATGGCCCACTCACCCACTGCACTGCATTCAGGTCTTTGCCCAGTGTCACCTCCCTCCCCTCAGCTAAAACATTACTCCCAACCCTTCCTGTCTCCTCACCCTGCTTGCGTATTTCTTAATGACCCTTACCACCCCCCACATTGTGATGAAATATGATCTTCTCCCTCACCAGACTGAGATCTGCAGAGGGCAGGGATTCTGTTGGACGGTATCCCCGGGCTCAGAATGGTTCCTAGTGTAGGAGAAGGGTCTCTAGGTTTGTGGAAGGGAGAGAGGGAGGAGGAAAGAAGAAGGAGGAGGGAAAAGTGAGAAAGGAAGAATTGAGTATGCGAAATTCAAGAGAGAACTGGCCCCTTGGGGTCCCGGCAGCCTCTGTCCTGCCTGGGCAGCTCTGTTCCCACCCAGCCTATCTTTCCAAATGACTGCGGCCCCCACAGAAAGCCAGAAGAGCCAGAAGAGGAACCTAGTTTCTGTGAGGTGGTCTGCAAAACCCTCCTTACCATCGTGTTTTCATCCTTAAAGAGATTTTCTCCTTTGGCCTTAGCTAGGAGCTCCCCAGGGCAGTTCAGCTGGTGCTCAGACACAAACTCAAACAGACTGTTCTTCCTGGAGGTGAAGAGGATGTGGGGCGGTTAAGAACGTGGTTTGGAATGAGACCTGAGCTGGAAGGCTTGCGTTTCTACTGGGGAGACCTCACAAAAGTTCTTTAGCCTCTGGGTCTCAACGGCTTCAGTCATAAACTGGGAAACTAGTAAAGCACTGACGGCTCCATCCTATTACCTCATTTCATCATCACCTGTGAAGTGCTTAACAAGGTCCCCAGTGGGAGGAACCCTTACTATCTGGGAGCCTTCTCTAACGTGGGGCTCTCTTCCAAGACAGGAACACCCAAGCTCTGAGTGGCTGCTGCACTAGAGAGTGGTGATGTCAGAATGTGAACTCAGGTCTGTCTGTTCTAAAGCCCACCAGCATCCACCACCCCATGCAGCCTCTTCTTGGGCATCTCTGCCTTTCCCAAGATGCTTTAAGCCCTTTTCCCCCAGCAGGTCCCTGCACCGTGAAAGCCCCAAGCAAGTGCAGTTTCTCCGCAGCAACCAGTTTGGGCCACATCCCCCAGGTATCCCACTGGGCCCCGGCGTGAGACACTGCCACATACCACATGATGACCAGCTGGACGAAGTGTAACAGTTTCTTCTCCCCTTTGCAGGTGGCACAGGTCTTGTTTCCTCTCCCTGAGCAAGTGCTGCACCTGAGAGGGACACATCGTTGGCACCACTCACACTCATGGGTTCCTGGTGGCTTCCAGAGGCCCCCCCACTCCAAAATCCTTCCTCATGCAGGTGGACCGTGGTGGGCGTGAATTGCTTCCACCTGCCCACCATCTAGATCTCCTGCTGCTGGTGGCCAACCACAACTTCCCTTTGGAGACCACTCCTCTCCCACCCAGTCTGCCTGGTTCATGGGCTTGCCCCCCTTCTGTGACCAGCTCGGGACCTCTGCCTGGCCAGTCAGCTTATTCCACCTCCCTGGTCACAGTGGCTGATACAAACATGGGCACGTGACCCAGGTGAGTGCTGTGAGATCCACCCTAGAACCTTTGTTCTAACTTTTAGGAAAGAGACATTCTTTTCTACTGAGATTACTAAACTTAGAGCTGCTGGCAGTCCCCTCTGCCACCACAAGAGACAACTTGCCTGAGAATAAAGCCAACACAAAGGAAAGCAGAGTGAGGAAAAAAAAGACATTGTTTGCACCTGGATCCAGCTGTACCTGCAGCCACACCAGAAATGTACTCCTGGACTTTTCTGTTACATGAAAGTATAAATTTACTTTTCTGCGAAAGCCAGCTTGAATTGGATTTCTTTCACTTGTAAATAAAAGAAATCAGACTTTCTTTCCAAATCCAAGTCCTTCCTTATCAACCAAGGTGGCAGGTATACCAAAGCTTCACCATTTGGCTTCTTAGAAGGATGGCGTGGGCCTCAATGAGCCAAAAGTATCATTAACCAATTAACCAACACAACTTCGAATAGTTTTACTCCTCATGGTTTCCTGTTTCCCTTTAAAATTTGTAAGTTCATTAAAGGACATGATTTACAAAATGCAACGTCCCACTGTTTGCAAAGCCCTGTGAGCGAAGATGGAATTTCGTTGATTGTTTAGTCAATCAACCAGCCTTCGCTGACTTCTCTCTCCTATATTCATGCTCTACAATGAGTTATAAATAAGGGTTTGCCCAGGCCCCAGATTCTCAGAGAGTTAAGAATCTCACCTTCGGGTGGATTTCCATATTCACTTCCCCACTACGTGAGCAGGAACAGGTCTCCTCTCCTTCACTGCCTCCCTTCCTTCCTGCAGTGCCTTGTTCCTTATACCCGACCCACAGATGGCTTGATGAGTTCCAGTATTTTCCAGAAGTATCAGGCCTTAGTAAAAGCCTGTTCACTCCACAAAATATTTACCAAGCACCTACTATGCATAGAGCTCTGGGGACAGGAGTGACAAGACAGAGTGGGTACCTGCTGGCCTTCCGGAAGGGAAGACAATGAAAAGCAAGAAAGCCAGGGATATGCTCATACCTGCGCCTGCCAGACCCCGAGCACATCTGACACCTCCGGGGCTGTTTGGCTCTGCGCTTGGCTCCGCTGCAGGATGGACACCTCACCTGCGGACACACCACAGCCTCAGCCCCTGCTGGCCTCCCAGGGAAGTGGAGCAAAGAGCATCCCGAGACTTGGTTTGAATTCTAGCCCAGTGACCTTGAGCAAGCCCCTTCCTCTCCCTGGGCCTCTGCCCCTTCATCTGTAAAATGGGAGGGTTGGATGTAGTGTATCTTTGGAACTTTCCAGTTGTACCTTTCGAAAACTCTACATTCTTCCATCGCTGTTTCTCCTGGGACATCAGCCTCTCCTGCTCCTCTCTGATCCCCATGTTCCCTGGGACTGTCCCCTAACTAAAAGGCCAGGGCCAGTGGGAGCAGGAAGAGGGGTGGGCTGGCTGAGGGGCCTGCTTTCGGAGACGGGGATCTCCATCTTGGAAAGGCCCCCAGAGGTGATCCAGGCAATGCACCCACTAGGTGGGCCCTGGAGACATTTCAGAAAAAGCCTGAGGGAGGAGGAAGAGGGAAGAGAGGAGCAGGGGTGGAGGAAGGAACAGAAAAGTCCACAGGGAGAGGCTCTGGGAAAGCCATGATGCAGCAAAGGGCAGGAGAGTACGGGAGAGAGACCACCGGGGATGGGCCACAGGTGGGGTGTGAGGGGGTGGAGGAAGTGAGGGGGTGGAGGAGGAAGGAGGGTACCAAAAGGGTGGAAGGGCCGTTGGGTAGAGGGAAGGACTTAAGAGTGACAAGTGGTCAGTATGTGTCCAAAGGATTAGGTGTAAATGGGGAGCGCTAAGAACACTCCCAGGATGGTTAGCAGCTCTGAAGGTTTCTGAAAAGAAGGCTGATGCCACCAGAGCCTGACTGTGTGCTTAGGGGCTTGTACCAGGTTGAATAGTGTGCCCCCTCCTCCCTGTCACCAAAATTTACACCCAACAGAACACCAGAAGGTGGGAAAATGGAGGCCCATAGAGGGAGGAAGCCTCATCTAAAGTTAGCTGTTAGTGTAGGGAGTCCCAGGCCCCCGTCCAGCCCTCTGTCCCTGGTGGCCCCACCCCTCCCACAATCGCTTACTCACCAACAGCCACGCGTGACTTACCATGCCGGCCCCATGGCAGCCACTGCACTTGTAGCGCCCACGACCATGGCATTTGTGGCACTCCTGAAGGTGAAACTTCCCTTGAATCATTTCCCAGGCACCAGCAGCTCCTGGTTCCACAGCCCCATGCCCAACCCCATGATGTCACCATCCCAAACAGAGGTGCAGCCCTCCAGAGCCAGGGTGGGAAGATGGCCATTCCACAAGACCAGGATTCCAAAGGGCCTTGAATGCCCCAGCCCAGGCTGCCCCGGATGCCAAGAAGGGAACACTGGCTCTCCAAGTCCCACACCCGAACTCATGCTCCCAGGCGAAACCACAAAAACCAGCATCCTTCACTCATTTAAGTAGCTACAGCAATCTATGGGAATAGAAGCCATAAAAAATGGACAGATTGTTGTAAAAGGCAAGGGGCTAGCTGTTGGAATTTAATCACTGAATCCAAATAGCTTTTTCACCCTCGAGAAAAGAGCGGAACACTTTCTTGACCTCTGAAAGTCCTACCTATCTTATAACGCTATGAAAACACACGGGGTAAAATTACATGCTTGAATCAAATTCTAAAGCGAAAACAGTGCTCGCTTCAGCAGCACACACACTAAAACTGGAACGATGCAGAGGAGACTAGCACGGCCCCCGCACGAGGATGACACGCAAATTCGTAAAGCGTTCCATATATTTTGTTGGATTGTACATTTGAAACTTATAGGATTTTGTTAATCAATGTCACCCCCCCAAAAATAAATAAAATAATAATAATAATAATAATAATAATAAAGTGAAAATAAGGCAGGTAATTAGACAGGAACATAAGATAAAATATCTCAGTTTTTATAATACATGAGGTTACCCTCGCTTCATGTCATGATATTTCCATAAAACAGGATAGAAGTTAATTCTGTTTCCCTCTTGACTTCCATGAAAAATTCCAACCATGTTTTAACTTTGTTTCATTCAGCACATCAGCTGCTTACTATCAAGCAAAAATAAAAAAAAAAAAAAAAGATAAAAAACACTAGGTCTAGGAATGTGAATGCTCACTATTTAAAGCTCGTGACAGTTTTATAAATGGGATCGTTTATAAAACTATGGGAATTTGCTATTCCCATAGCAAAGGGAATATATAGCCAAGAAAGAAGCCAGTAACCTGGATTTGCGGTTTTCCTTTTAAAAGGATAAAGTTTGAGGAAACGTACAGTGCCTGGGAAACCGGCTCAGAGAGAAGGGCCAAGGTTCCAACAATCGTCGTTACCTTGACCAGTGATGAGTGAGGGACTTGGAACTTCCTGGTATCTTCCTGAAACATTGGGGGAACCTGGACCTTGATGTCCCAAAGCCTGGGGGAGGTTCCTCTTCGTGGCCCATCCACTGAATGGTCTGACACAGAATAGGATCACTGTAAAAATAGCAAGGCTGCCAGGACAAGATTTCGCTTATTCACCAAATACTATGCCTCTTTGCTGGGTGCCAGGCTAGACCCTGAGGCTACAGAGACAGGCAGATAAGGATCCCTCTGGAGTCAGTGATTCAGCACCTGAGCTGTGGGTTTGAAAACACTTAGCTGTGACTCCTGGTCCTTCTACTTCCTAGCTACATAACTCCAGACAACTTAGTTCACCTCGCTGACCTTCAGTTTTCTCATCTCTGCAATGGGGATAATGGTTGCGCCCTACAGGATGGTAATGAAAATTACGTAGAAGACATATAAATACTTAGCACAGGACAGGCACATGGTGAAGGCTCAATAAACAAGCACTATTATCACTATCGTCTCCATCCCCACCACTTTCTCTTTCTCCTCCTTCACTCAAGAAGACAGACACAGCTACAACCACAATGATAAGTGCTTTGGACAAGAGTTTCATACAAGAGAAACAAGAGTTTCTGAAAAGCCCAGGAGACTGGCTCATTCTGCTGGGGAGGGAAGTGTCAAGTGAAGAAATTCTGAAAGGCTTCATAAAATAGGTGACTCGTGAGCTGAGTCTTGAAGGACAAACTGGAGTGGTCAGCTGAGAAAACAGGCACAGCATAGGGCTCCCCAGATAGAGAACCTTGAATCCTCTAGTGGAATTCCACAGGACGTAAGATGGCACAGTGAATGGGGGCCCAGGGACCTAGTGACTCCGGGAGGTGCTGGGATGGCCTGGGAGGCCGGGAGATGCCCAAGCACACAAGCTGCCTTTGCAATCTAGCCCCACGTGGCAGCATCACCCTGTGGCCGAGGCAAATGCTAGGCTTTCTCAGGACCTTCTACAAACAATTTCCTGGTTGAGAAACCTTTGCTAAAATCAGCACTGACAGGTCTCTGAGATGAAAGCCCACTCTCTCATTTTTCAGGGGGTGGGAAACTGAGGCCCTGAGCAGAAGAGCATCTCATTCGAGGTTAGTGGCTAAGACTAGCCCCTGGCATATTTGCTCCCAATTAAACTGACTTTAGACAACTCACGAGTGAAGGGTTGAAATGTCCATTCGCTTATCCTGGATTCACTGAAAGTCTCTAGTCGATACTGTAGAGAAAAAGACAGCACATTTACACGTGTGCCCTTTAGGAGGACAGAGCATTATGCACATAGAGGGAGCTCCCCGCCTGCCAGGGCTCCGTGGGGAAACCAGAAGGACCCCTGCATGGCACCTGGGAGCTGCTTAGAAGAGGCTGGCAACAGTGATTTCTGTTCCAGATGTCCTGGCACATCTGTAGGGAGGTCAGTTGGCCCCAGGAAATCTCTCCTGACAGGCTCACAACTGGGGCAATTTTAGCCCCCCATTTCTTTATACATAGAAACATTCTCAGAGGCACGTTTTGGAGCAGTAATTGCCCTCTGACAGATGCAGGCTGCTGGAATCCACTGCCACGAGGCTCCCCTTCTGGAGGAAATTATCCGCCTGATGTCAAGATACTCCTTCTTGGTCCTCACCCACAGAAACACAAAATGGGAAAGGATCTTGGAAATCACCTGGCTCCTCCTTTTTCATGTGAGGAAATAGAGACTCAGAGATGTCAGTTGACCTGCCCAAGGCCAAACAGCTACGCATGGGCCTCTTCCCCCAGATCGCTGCTCTAACCACTCCCTGGGAGCCTTGTCTGATTTCTATGTGATGGTGTGCTCCCCAGAAAATGGCTGTGCCAGGGACACTAGAAAATGTGAACTTAGAAGCTACCTCTCGGCCCTGTCAATGCAAAAGGTGACGTAGGTGCCTGTTGCAGCCCTGATTGTGGTCTTGGTGCAGGATTTCCCTGGAGCGTCAGGCTCTGGCGAGGAGTAGATGATTCCTCGGCACAGACATGACTTGGGGAGGCAGAGGAAGCTGGGATGAAGGGAAGTGGAGGGACCTCTCCCAGTCCACCCCGTGTAGAAGCGGGTCAGCCTTGTGTTTGAGGACATGGGCTTTGGTGCCAGCTAACCTGAGTTTCAATCTAGCCACATATTTTTGGACAAGTACTTTCACCTCTCTAAACATCCAATTCCTCCTCTGTAAACACCTACGATGTCGGTAGCTGTGAGGATGTGATAAAGCATACATGTAGCATGCTTTACGTGATGCCTAGCACATTCCAGCTTTTCAGCGATTGATAATAACTACTCCTTGTATTATTATTACTCAGACTTTGAACCAGGAAAGTCACAGAAGGGACTTCAGTGTCACTTCCATTCACACACGCTGCCCTCGCCCCGGGCTCCCTTCTCCCAGCTTACATTACGTGAGCCTCTGCCAGGCCAGACTCCTTACCCTGCACACACTCTGCTGCTTCAGCTCCTGGATGACGAGGTTGCCAGCAGCCGCACTGCCGTAGCAGCATTTGGAGTTCACAAAGCTGAGAAGGGCTTCACGTGCCACCTCCTCCGTCACCACGGGGACTCTGCTGGGGAAGGAGCAGAGAGGCAGTGGGGTCTGAGCAGGGCCCGCGGGCTCATCCGGGCCAGGCAGCCCCCTCATTGTGCAGACAGAAACCAGTCCACAGTAGTGGGAATGCAATCAGGAGATTAACTAGGAAGGGCATCTTGGTGAACAGATACAGGGGCTGGGAAAGTGGCAGGTCTTTCTAGAAGACAGCAAAACCACTTTCTCTGAAGTGTGGTGCTCAGGAGAAGGGCTGATAGAACCTTAGAACTCAAAAGGAAAAAAAAAAAGATAAATTATGTCATTTTACAGATGAGAAAAACTGAGATCCAGAGAAGATGTCACATAGCTAAGGAGGTGGAGTTAGGTGAAACGAGGTTCCCGCCCTAGGGGAATGGGATCTCAGCCAGAGGAGCTGCGAACAACTTCATGGGAAGACCCCAGCCAAGACCCAACCAGCAGCAGTGCCCACAGCGACTCACC